AGCCCTTTTAAAATGTGTAATTGCTCACTTTGTTACACCATCTTCATAGTTTTGTATCTTGGTTAGACTAGGACACAGTTGGTCAGTGCAGTTCTGAACTGTTGAGCTTTGTAAACTGAGGTATTTGTCTGCACTGCACAATCATGTCCTATAGTCCATATTTAGTATGTATAATCCTCATTCACCTCGATATGTTAAAATCAAAAGCAAAGTAAAATGATTCAGTTAATTTGAATTACTTGGGGTTTTTTTGTTTTGTTTTGTTTTTTGTTTTTGCATTACTGAGGCTTGAACTCAGGGCCTTCACCTTGAGCCACACCACAGCCCTATTTTTGTGAAGGGTTTTTTGAGATAGGGTCTCATGAACGAAAGGCTGGCTTAAAACTGCAATCCTCCAGATCTCTGCCTTCTGAGTAGCTGGGATTACAGGTGTGAGCCACCACTGGTGCCCAGCTAAATTACTGGGTTTTTTTAAATTAAAACTAAGAGAGATTGAGTAAGAAAAAAATTAACTTTTTTTTCATGGCATTGGGGCTTGAGCTCAGAGGCCTCATAATTTCTAGGCAAGTGCTGTACCACTTGAGCTACTCTGCCAGCAAAAGTTAACTTTGATGTTTCTAATGTGTCTTGGGCCTTTTTTAAAATTAAAAAAGGAAGAGTTAAAATTGGTGGATCCCTGTAAATAATATTATGTTTTTTGAGTTTATCTGTCTTTCTCCTTTTATTCTGAGTCTTCATGAACAGTCTGATTTCTTTCCTTTTCATTTGGATTTTGAAAGTCAGTTTGCTCACTTATCCATTCTCTTCCTATTCTATTTAAGTGTAGTATTTTAATTTTGTGTTATTTTAAAGGAATTTGATAAGTATGAATCTAAAACATTTCATTTAAAATTCTTTCCGGAACGTTACTGAATTCTATTATGCCAGAATGAGCCATCCTTCATCAGATAACAATGAACTGATTTATACTGCACTCAGGTTTGTTTGGGGTTTTTCTTTTAGCCAGAGGTTCACCTTTGTACTTTTGGAATCAGTTAGTTACACTTTTAACCCAGAAACCTGGATTGTGAAATAAACACATATGAGAATATAGATTATGTGCTACCTTTGGCTGATTCATATTAAACCTTGTAGAAGTTTAGAGCTGGAAGAACTGATGATCGATCACCCTATTCAGTGACCTTAGTTTGTACTGAAAAATAATGTTACCTTGAGATTGCTGTTAGATTGTTAAATTTGGAAAAATTCAAACTTCATTTTAGGGAGAAGTAATGATCCAAGGAGTGTTGCTGATCAGATGGGAAATAAAGTGGTTTGTTACTCCCTCCTCTTTTTAAATCTTTTATTTTAAGGTATGAGGAGTTTGGAAAAAAAGATGCCCTAATTTGCTAATGAAGTGCAAAGAGTTCAAGAACTTGGCCAGTTTCTTTGAAAGTTGATAACATGCTCCAAGATTAAAAGCATGCCCTTGAGTACCAGGACACTGTTATGTCAGTCATTGTGATACCTGTTTGGCCTGCTGAGCCATGCTGCCCTTAAAATGCCCAGTGAAGCTACTTGGAGCAGGGTCAACTAGTGAAGCCTGTGATGTTGAACAAGTGAAATGATAAGAGGAAACATCTGAGGGGTCCCTGAGGATAAGAGAAAAGACAAATGTTGGTATCTTAATTCTTCCAAACCTAAGTAGTTTGTCTTATGGTCAGACAGTCATTCTACTGATGGAAATACCAGAGTTGGTGAAATTTTCAAAAGGGTAAAAGCTGCCCTTTTATGATTCAGTGACTTAATGACTTGCAAAGAAACTAAAGCCTAACTATTTTAGGTAGTACAAAACTTAACTCTTAAAACCTGCCTCAAAGAAAATCGAAACAGAAACACTCAAAGTAAATTTAGGCTTTTGAAAATAAATGTGATAATAAAATAACAGTTTGAAGGTTGTACTAAAAGTTGGATGGCTACGACTTACAACGCAAAAAGGCAAGTATGTGCTTACATTATAAAGGCCTTTTTTTGTTACTAAAGAAATGCAGTGACTTGGTGCTAAACTAAAGTTTATAAGAATGGGCTATTTTAAGTAAATACAAATGAAAAACTGATGTGTTCATGGCTTAAATAAATGAAGTAGTAGTTTCTGTGTTTTATCACTGAGCCCTCCAACAACTCTCTGAAATGGCACTGTCACTATCCCTATTTTCAAGCATAAAAACCGGGGATTCGAAAAGTAAAGTATATTGTCCAGAATCATAAAGCAGTGAATAACAGAACTAGGATTTTAATTCAGTGTTAGACGCCAAACCCAACCAACAAAAAAAGTTACTGCTACATTTAACTAAATTCCACGTCCATAAAATGTAAACCCCATGTGTGTCGATAGCCTTTCTTTATGAGCAGTTTCCATACTGTACTTTTAACTCATTGGGAAATATTAATGGTATGTTATGGGTAACCACTAATAGTAGGAGAATCTGAGAAATTCAGAATTTCAGCTAAAATTTGTATAGTAAACTCTGAATTCTTCCATTAATAGGCTAGAAAGCTATGGCCTAGATGTTAACCCACACTCAACAGCAATATTGCCAAGATAAAAGTTTGCAACATTTTAGAGTGAATACTAAATAAAATGCAAAGATTCTAATAAAAAAACAGTGAACATGCCAGATTTTCATTGCACTTGAATAAAATGTTTTAAAAATAATTCATTAGTTGATAAAGACTGTTAAAAATCTTTGCATCCTAAATGCTTTGCATAGTGCCTGTTTGGCACATAAAATAAGGACCCAATTTTTTATTTAAGTAAACTAGTGTAAACATTACAGTTTTAGGATTGAAAGCATGTGTGACTTCGAACATGCTTGTAATTTTTATGTATCTTTGAACATTCCTCTTCTGGGAACATATTTTAAACTGTGTCAACAACAATATTGGGTTCTGATTCCCATGTGGCTTTGAAGAACTCTTCGTTTTTTTGTTTTGGTTTGGTTTTTTTATAGGAAACCTAAGATATTAAGTATACACCAAAAATTATTTACCAAAAAACTAAAGTAAGTAGAAAGCTTTCCCCGAATTTGAAAAATGTCTCTTAATAGAATCCTTATGAATGTACACAAAAGTTGTGTTTGCAGAATACTATGTGCCAAGTTATTGTTTGAGAATCCAAGTTTTGTTTTCTCCTTAGAAAAGTTTAGTCACTTCCATTTTATGTTTTACTTTGTATCTTAATATTTTCTCTTGTGTAATAATTACAGCTATTTTTTAAGTATTGGTTATTTCAAAGGGAAATAATGTTTAAAAGATGTGAAGCATTTAATCCTTGAATGCTGGAACACTTTATAGTATTTAAGTACATATGTATTATATTATCCAAGGAAAAGAATGATGTATACATTCTATGGTCAATAGGCACTAGGATGGCTGGCTTAGAAAATTGAATTATTTTGCATTTCAAGTTTCTTTTTAACATAATATTCTAAAATTAATATTTAAATTTCAGGGTGGGGTGATAGGAGAAACATACGTGAGGTTTTGACTTTATACTTGTTCTCTCACTTGTCACCTCCTTAAAAAGAAATCATTTTTTAATAATGGGCTTGGCTTTACATTTTTTAAGCACTTCTGTTTTCTCCTATTTGAAAACTATTGCTTAAGACAAACTGGAACACACAGCAATCACTACACAAGAGTTGTGCTGTTTTATTTTTGTCAGTACTATGGTTTGAACTGAGAACCTTACACTTTTGTGAGGCAGGAGCTCCACCACTTTAAACACACCTCCAACTCCTACACCAGTGTTCTTAATAAGTGTGTCCCATACTCCAGTCACCAAAGAGTTAGGGTACAAATAATTTGTTACTAATTAAGAAATGCCAAATGATTTACTCTTAAAATTACAGCAGATTTAAATGTATCCTAATGACATCCTCGCTCTTTGAACTCTTGTATTTCAATGTGCTTTCTTGAGCCAGAGGAAAAAGAATGAAGTTCCAGCTGTCAGGGTGAGACTGCTATGAATGAGTGTCAACCGTCGTCTGTAGAGAAGGAAAAGAAAGCTGAAGAACTTCTGCACCACACTAGTGGGCATGTTCTCAACTTTTTTCTTCTTTGACATGAAATGATAATCACAAGGGAACACATTCTCAGATTCCACCGCTAGTGAGCTAGCTCTTCTCTCCCACCCCAGGGAGCAAGCAAAAGAGAATGTTACAGGGATGCATCTTTAGTCAACTTAAACTTTTTTTTAAGTAACAACTTGAGAATTTTACACCTTGATAATTGTTATCTAATTACCTGGGTTCCTGGGGCACATTTAATGGCTATGTCATGATACTATAACTGATAAACTCCATGTTTCTTAAATTTTGCACTTTTGCCTCATCCGAAACCCAAACCTATTTAAACTTCAAAATGAAGGAAGGCCAAATTTCATTGTATGGCAATATAAATAACTTTTTCAAAAGTATTTTAAGGTTTAAAGTTGAGATTTGAAGAATTTGAATTTTTCCTGTCATTCTTTTAGACAAGAAAAATTCATGACTCATTAAATGTAAATATTATATAAAACCCTATATTTCCTAATGTCAAAAGTATTTGATATTATTTGTTGCTTTTTTGTTTTTGTTTTTGTTTTTTTAGTACTGGGGTTTGAACTTCAGGGCCTTGCACTTGCTAAGCAAGCATTCTTACCTCCAGCCCTCTTTTTTTTTTCTTTTAATTGCAAAGCTTTCCTGTGCTTCCCAGGCTGGGAACTCCTCCTGCCTCAGCCTCCCAAGCAGCTGGGATTAAGGCACACTGTGCCTGCCTTGATATACTTCTGATTTAGCTTTAGCTCTTTTACCTGGCTTTCTTAGAGGGCCTTAAATTTATATTATAAGAAAATAGCCACTAAATTAATTATTACCTTTAAAAATTTTTAATGTGAGATTCTCTGATGTATTTGTTTTATTTAAGAGTAACTTTGAATACTAAGGGCGCTTTTCTTTTTGCTTTGTTTATTTATTAATAAGATATTATGAACTAGATCCGCATAAAAGTCTCCTAGACAATTTGAGGAACAAAGTGATCATTGAATACCCAACATTACATGTGGTATTGAAAGGATCTAGCAATGACATGAAAATTCTTCACCAAGGTAAGTGTAATATCATTCCTACAATGCTTAGAATAGCTACAGAAACTGAAGCAGTCACAGGACTGCCCTTATTTCTTTATGGATTTGTTTTCCTAGTGTATTTGGAAACTTTTAAAAAATGTAGCTACAGTTAATAATGTAAAAACCCAAATGATGAGCTGTTGCTTCTATCCTGTTTGGGACGATATAAGCTCAAAATACCAGTTTTCAGTGAATGAATCAAATGAATATCTAACTATAAAAGGATGTTTTTACCTAATTGAAGTTGTTCATGATGAAATAAACTTACTCTCTAGTTAAAACTCTTTCTTGACATATTCATAGAATGAGGGATTACAAAATATTTTCAGTATCCTACCTTACAGCCAGGAATAATGTTGTAAGAAACATTGTTTATAATTTGGGCTATATTTAGCTAAGCTTGTGCCGTTTCCTTGACCTTTTATCTCTTTTCTTAAATCCTCTGGTTTTATTTCCTTTAGTTTTGTTTCTTTGGCCATATGGGGAAATATTAGAACTAGAAAAAGTGTACATAAAGATTTAGTGTATATATTTGCAGTTACTGACTGAAATAAGCTAATTGTGTTTCAGAATGCAAGATTATAGAGGATGAATAAAATTCAGTAGTATTTTTAAAAGATGAGGGTGATTACTCATCTTAACTCAAATCCATTAGATATCATCTTTACCTAAGAAATACAAGTACAGTCCAAGTTGCATTGTAACAGACTCTAAAGGAACATAGAATCCTTGTCTTGAGATCTCTGTTTTTAAAAATAGCATTATCCAGTATATGCAGTTCAGGTTTTATTGTTATGTCACTATTATAGGCTATCACAGGTAGTAACATATGTTGTTACATGTTTTCTATATGTGTGTGTAACTTCTTTTTTCCTCAGCAAAAGTTAGCATAAGAAGTTTTTTTTCTAAAGTGGCCAAAATTTTGTTAGTACAACATCTTGAAATGAGATTTTAATTAGCAAACATGAAATTTTTAATAATAAATTATGAATGAACATCATCTCATATATATTCTTGACATTGTTTTTCACAATTTGAGATTATCCAATTTTATTTTACCAATATAAATTAGGAATTTGGGGTTAAATAATCAGTTTCACTGTTTTAAAGGTGGTAAAACTTTACTTTTTCTTTAATATTATTCACATAACTTTCTTTCCAAATGTTGGTTTCAGGGAAGGTCGTTCAGTAATGCGTTACTGACCAGAGCAAACATCATCTGTGTAAATAAACACTGCACACACAGCTCTTTTTTCACCTGGTTCAGGATTACACATTTAAGTGAAGGTTTCTGTAATGAAGCTATGAGAAAAGACTACTTCAATAGTGTACATGAAAGTAAAATTTTCATTTTTCTGCTAGGTATATGATGTCGAACTTATTTACAGGAACACGGATGACTCATGCTTTAGTACAAAGGATTGCTTAGGACTGCTGTGGCAAAAGCTAGAGGACCTGACCAGAGTTGTCACATCATGAGTACACGCCTTAACAACAGAGCCAGGTCTCCCTGTGCATGAATTTCCTTTTGTAAGCACATCACAACGCTTGTTTCTTCTACATCCTCACAGCATTTGGTGTTCTTGGGGTGTCTCTTCATGAGGGAGATTATAAGTTAGATTTTGATCCTGAGTTCCCAGTACCAGGTGTCTCTTTTCTTGTCTAAGGAAAATGTTTCTGGGCTAGTATTCCACACTTGATGGTTGTTAAGATATTTGTCGTGATTATAGATTGCCATAATTTGTTTTTTTCAAAGTCCATCTGTGTCAATCAACAATAGGCAAGGTTTTTGGGGAGTGGTATTACTGGGGTTGTTTTTGGCTCTTGCCCCCCTCCCCTTTTTTCAAGAGATGAAAGTGGTTAAATAAAGGATTAAGAAGTTGAGGTGGTCTACTAGATTGGAAATACAGAGTGGTGATTACCCATCTTGTATCAGTCCAGTGGAAAGTGCTCAGTGTGAAGCTATAACTTGCTTCACAGGCTCTTGTTTGCCAAAGTTAGATTAGCAGATTTAAATGACTTAATAAAAGCATGCTGCATTTCTAAGGAAAAAAGAATAGAGCTCTATTAAAAGAAGAAAAGTAGGTACTATAGTAAGCAAAGAAATGGAAAAGTGTTCCCTACTGTTCTGATCTCTTGCTTAGAAAATTCTTCTGCCTTTAAAGAATGTGTCCAACCCCAAACTGATTATTTGAATTAGTGAAAATACCAAGCGTAGTAAGTTTCTTGTTAGGCTAATAAATCCTTTCATTTATTCTCCCTCTCTCTCTCTCCTCCCCTCATTCCTCCTTATCCTCTTTTACTTTCCGTTTCAGTGGAGTGTGGGAGTGAGAATCTCAGGCACATGCACACTCATGACAACTTTATAGTCCAGTCAGTGTTATGACAGTTTACATAAAGTGCCAAAGAAGCCAGAGGGAAAAACAATAAACTTGCAGTATATGAAAGCACTTGAAAGACACTGTGTTTTTTGTTGTTGTTTTTTTTAATTCCGTAAGTATAGGGACTATGTCTCAGATGGAACTTATTTTGGTGTCTCATGCAGAAAGGACTCAGTAAACACCTTTTTGGTTGCTGATACAATTTGAAATCTAAGCAAACCCCAAGGAAATTGTCAGTTGGAAAACAAAGGTTTAGGTTCATGGTTCTAGCATCAGCTTTTATAAGCTGTTCATGCTTGAAGACTCACCATGCATCTCTGAGCTTTATTTTCCTAACCTACCCAATGGAGATAAACAGCTATAAACTTCAAGCAAAATAATCTATATTTTGACCTTAACAGTTTTCAAAGCATTTTATGTATTATTTCTTTTATCTTCATAATATAATGAAATAAATAGAGGTCCTATTTATGAATTAAAAAGAAAAAACACTGAAAGACAGATTGACTTGTAATTGTATTGATCCAGCTTAACATGCTGAGGCTAGATAGGGGGGAAATGTCTAGTCTCTGCCCTTAGGGAACGTAACTTTTTGAGTGGCTTGAGTTTCATTCAGCATGCACCACATTCATTCAACATGTACTGACCCTCAATTTCAAGTTTACAAAAAACACATGGAAAAACTGTTCCAACCACATGTGGCCAGTCTGTGTGATAACCGTGATCTCCTCAGTGGCATGAGTGTAGAATTATAACCACACTGTGAGTGTCCATTCCCAAGTGTTCCACAGAGTCAGGAAGGACGGTACCTCACAGAATATAATTGCCACTTTTAGACATCATTTCTCTATTCATCATGGCCAGAATTGTATGTCCCAGCTGCCCGGGACATGACATGGTTTGTCCCTGTGAGCAGTGCTGTTGCTATGCATCAGAAGGGAGGAGAGATGAGAGGAAACAGAATGGGCTAAACAGAAACAGTGTAAACATTTGACTGTGTGTTTACTTATTTTTTTCCAGTGAAAAGTGAATCTACAAAGAACCTTGGCAGTGAAAATTGAGTACTTCTAGAAGAAGGTGAAAGTTCCCAGACAGTTGCAGAGAATTATGCATTGACAGCATTGGTGGACTGTTGGATAATCAGGGTATATTGTCAGGGGGTGGTTGGAATTTTTCATTTGTCTGAAAAGTAATTACACAATGTAGACTTTTATTTAGGAAAAATGTATTTTATAGCCTCTTGAATAAATTGATTTATAAGGTCCCTTTTTCATAATATGAACTTCTTTTTGTACCTGATCAGTATAGCCCTTACTAGACTTCAGATTTTAATATGCTTAACTCTATAAGCTAAAAAATTTTATTTGTTAGTTTGATGCAAAGCCAAACCCAAGGATCACCTGTATCAGCTACAGAGTTGGCATCACTAAAGAGAATGCCATGCAGCATGCCATCCAGCCAAGGAGAACTGATCCTCTGTCAGTCACCCATTCTTTCTTTAGGATTTATATACAACTTACCCCTCTATAAGACAATTTTCATATTTGGGGAACTCCCAGCAAATGTTTTGTGAAAGACTAAGTATTATTAATTACTGTTTCTTATATTCAGTTCAGAAAAACAGCAGCTCCACATAGTTGGAATCATCAGTGGTAACAAATTTGGCTCTATTTTTTCACGCAGTGAATTGTGTCTTATGAATTCTGTGCCTCATCCCATTCCCATTCCACTCATTATCATATAGGGGTGTTGTGATGGTCAGTTTGATGCTATGTTTTGATACATCTAGCAATAACTAAAGAAAACAAAACTTGCTCAATGTGTTATTGAAATGTTTATGTATGTATTTGTATATATACATGGCTTAATTTATACCTTATGGCAGCTCACATACTGAAATTAAAGTTTGCTAATTTTATTGGCATTTATGCAGTTATGAAACTGCAATATGACTCTAAAATAGTAAAGGATTATTACATCTGTATTGCATCTGTGTACTTAGTGTTTAAAAAACAATGATAAAAGTAGACATTAATGAAATTCATTTTTAGTTTACAGTTGGAATAAATTTTAGAAGAAACCAGAGCCATTAAAGATACTTAGAAGGATTAGAAATAGGAAAAGATAATAAAATGAGCATAAGAGAAACTTGCAAAACACAAATACTTATGTGACTTGGGATATAAATTAGAGAAGAGAATCCAAAGATAGTAATACCAGAAAGAACACTGATATAAAAAGTACTAGTGCAAATGTGCCTCCATAGAAAGTAATAAGGCCTTGCAATTCCATAAATATATTTCCATCTTAATGCAATATGGTAAAGAATTTATGTAGAATTATGTTGTTATTTATAGTATCACTGGATAGACAACTAAGTTGGGTTTCAAGGAATTCAGATTTAATCCAAAAATGAAATGTATATTGCTGAAATATGTATGAGATAGTATGAATAAATCAAATATGTCATAGTTATTGAAATAAGTGGGACAAAATACACAAAAAGAACATGTGATCTGAATGTCAGAAGGGAAGGAAATTTCCGACAGTGAAATGTGTTGCAGTGTAGTCTCATTTCCAAGAAAAGTGTTCAGTTACATCCCTTATCGAATTTAAACTGAAAACTAAGCCAAAAACAAAGAATTTATCCTGTTCTTTCCTCTGCTGGAGAGGAAGAAGATAAAAGGAAAGAAAAAATCTGCACGGTCTGAAGTATATTCACCATCTCTTGTTTTCTAGAATTCTATTGGACTTTTCAGTTATTACATTATTTCTTACAAAATAATTTAGCTAGCAGAGTTCACACCTAAATGTTACTATTGGCTCATTTGATTATATGCATATTTATTCCCACAGGATTTATAATAAACATGTGTTTTGGTAAACAACCATGTCAAAGACTTGGAGGTAAAATTGGAATAATTCATTGAGTCCCCCAGAAGTTTGTAGTATTAGAACCTAATTTCCTTTTAAAGCCCCTCTTCCTTTTGGATTCTTGACAAATTCTAATGAGTAAACAAATTCCTTGACCCATGTTAAATTCAACATCCTGCATTTTGTTCACGAATCACATTTTAAGGGAGGAGGAGTTCCACCTGGCCCTCTTTATCTTTTAAACAATGATTTCAAAGAGAAAATACACCTTTTAATAACTGGTAATTATTGCATACGTGATTAATAGCCATAAATTACAGTAAACAAATCTTGCACCTGTCCCTATTATAAATATGAATTAAAGAGTCACTATAATAAACATGGAGAATTCTAAAGCATAGTTGAGCCATTGAGCCAATTTGTTTCCCTGTTTTTAAGCAGTGGGATTCAGATTTCACATACTATAATAAAATGTTAAGCACACCACTACAATGCCAATAACTACCTTTATATCTTTTGTTTAGTTAGGTTGACATATATTGTATGTTATACCTGACTTCATATTACTCAACTTATACTACCTCATATATTTTACTATATTTAATATTACTTAATTTAATGTAAAGATGCTGGTCTACTTTAATTGTACACTATTGCACTAAAATATGTTAAGGGTTTTTTTTTGTTGTTTGTTTTTGTTTTTATTTTGTTTTGTTTTGTTTGAAGGGAGGTGTTTTCTTGTTTGGGCAGGAAGGTTTGCAGGGGGATAAACCCAAGACCTTCTGCATGCTAGACAAAGATTCTACAACCCCATACCATTAATGCACCTTTGATTATTAACCAGTCATCCTTTGCTTGCAAGTGACAGAAACTCAAACTAATATCAGCAGGAAGGGCACTTTATAAACTCATATTTAGGGAATTATGAGCATGATTATTTATCTAGACACCCCAAAAAAGTCATTGCTCTATCGCCTATACTTGACTTTGATTTTTTTTTTTTAAACTGGATTAGATAAATCTTTCAGGAAGATTTCTGTTGGAGTATTCTCTTGGAGGTGAGACGAGGATGGTAGAATGGCAGCAATTAATGGCTTCAGCTTACCTTATCGTAACCAGGTACCTAAAGCATGGCATGAAGCTATATGAAATTTTAGAGAAGTATGTTGATACTGCTTATTCTGAATCCGTTCTGAACTGATCAGGAGAGGAGTTTTCCCGAAATGAGGGGGAAATTATTAGAGAAAGGAGGAATGTAAGGAGCAGCTAAGGAAATGAGGTTACTGAGAATTTAAATATATCAGTTGTCTACTCCACCTTACTTGAATTTGTGTTTGACATGTTGCTTTGGGTTCAATCAAATGAACATATCACCAGTCCATTTCCATCGTCAGTTTGAAAGGTTTTTTTTTTTTTTTTTTGGCGGGGTGGGGGGCAGTGGTTTCCAGTTTAATCAACATTTGAGTGACAGTTAATTTCAGAATTAGAGTTGTACTGGGGAAAATGCTTCAAAAATGAAGACTACCTGAATAAAAATTGGCATTAAGTCATTGGGGATCTGTTCTTCACTGCAAAGTATTTTCTTTCAACTTTGGTCATTGAAAACTACAAAGTAGCTATGCATATGTTCTTTTCAATGAACTGTAGTGCAAATATTTTCCATACTGCATTGGACTTCAATTTTAAATTTAAGAATCAAGTGCATCCTTTAGCCTTTAATGAACAAATTGCATAACTCTGCTATTTCCAGTGTCATATTCTTGATGAATACAGTACCAGAACTTCTTCATCTCACCTTTGGAACCTTCTATCACTTGGTCCTAATTTAATTTTACGGCTTTCTCATTCTGTTTCTTTCTTTTCACACTTTGCTATTGGTGTTAAATTGTAAGCTCTAGAATCAAGTACAGAATCATTTTTTCTATTTTATATGAACAAGCAAACGAGGTCCAACTAGATTAAAGAGTGTGTTTAGGGTCACATGGAGAGTAAATAGGTGAGACAGAATTCAAACCAAGACAAGGTGGGCTTGTTAGGTTACATCCTTAACTATTAGGTTACATGGCCTCAGGACTGGGATCTGTCCCAGTCAGGCCATCCTGAATTTATATTGTGTTTCATGGTAATTGGAGTGAATAACAGTCTACTCAATTTAAAAATGAAAATCATTATTTTAATGGTTTATTGGCCACATCATTTTTTGATAAAGATAGTTTCCTCATAATTGTGAGACTGCTTTTCTTAGAGGCTTTTCTCTTCAATGACGGAAAGCAGGCTGTTTCCTCCTGGCATGTGTAGCTCTTGTCTTGAATCTTTTATCCATGTTACTTACTTTCTTTGCTGTTTGGGGCATAAAAACTTCAGTCACTTACTTCAGTTGGTTTGAAACCAGCTGCTATTGTTAATTCCAGATTCTTTTGATGGGTTCCAGTATAATAATATCAGGTCTTTTTTATTGTCCGTTGTGAATTACACACTGCTAAACTGAGCCCTACTCAAAGCCATTACAGCAGACCTCAGACAATGTGGCCATCCAAGACTGCCTAATTAAGGGACCCACATGGGAAGGGTACAAGGATGCAAGGATGCAAAAATAACTGGACGTTGACATCGTATTGAACAGCCGAAGGAACATGTGCTTGCATGCTGGTGAATCCTATTCTATCTGTTGGGCCTTGCCTGTAGAGAACACAGATTTGAGGGGTCAGGCTTGCAGGGAGCCAGTACAGCCACATGGGAGGGAGGAGAATTTCATGAGCTATTGGAAATCTTGGGAAGGGCTTCAGAAGTGGAAATGTGATTGTTGGAGGAAATCCATGAAAACACAGAGTAGACAAATGAAAGGTCTCCAAAATGCAAGTGTAAGCAAGTATTCATACTCTGAAGTACACAATTAAGAAGAAAACTTAGTAATGTGATTTTTTTTTTAAGGGAACTTTCCTATCTCCCTCAGGTAATGAGACTATCACATAGTGGTTTCACTTTTTATTTCTTCCAGGTTTCTGCTAAGGTCTATATGTTATTTTTACTGTTAGAAAAAATTGCCACACACCACCTCTTGGTATCTTGATTTCTTCTGGCTTCTTAAACAGTCTTTAGACAGTCCCTAAAGCCCAATAATTTCTTATTTTTCCTAGAGCCCTGTAGTCCTTTTGATTGTGCTGCTCTGTGTTCATAAAGAAAAACAGTAGAGTCCAGTTTCTGTGTTTTGAGGTATTCAGGGTACTTCTAGGGCCTTTGCCAACATAAAAAAGACAGCAACTTTTTCCATGTTCCTGACAAATTGGAAGGTGTTCTTTCAAATTCAGTGCTTCACATCTCTCCCTGGAAAGGTTGGTCAGTTGTTCAGCCAAAATCCTTGGCTTCTGCAGCTATCGCAGCTTAAAAACTTGCAATGGTTTCTGCCACATTTG